TCTCTGTAGTAATGCCGATTGGCGATCGGAAGAGTCCTTGCTGCTGGGAGGGGAGGAGGAACTGTCGAGGCCACTGGACTCTAGGCACGCTCGGTCAGGGGGTCTACTCAGGAAAGATTGCCGGACCCACTATACCTGGTAACTAGTTCTGACCACTAACACGTAAAACACATAGTAGAATGAAGGAGATGAAAAGGAGATGAAAGTCAAAGAAAATTTTGCAGGTACTAGAGTGCCGCCTGAGCCCATCGACTCAGGAGAGTCACTGGAGCTGCCCGGCTCCCTCCTTATACCGTAGGAAACCTGGCTGGTGAACAGGTAATTGCGACAGGAAAAAGGACAGGGTCGACGTCGTCAAAATCCTGGGACGCTGTGGAGAGTAAGATGCGAGAGCAACTGCTCACTGTACACAGCGTCCTAGGACAAATGACGGAGAAGACGAACGTCCAAAAAAACTTGAGTCGCGTGATTACGAATGGTATGGCTGAGATATATGAGGCTGTAGAAGTTTGTATGTATGAACTGAAGCGAATGCGACAGATCAGATAAAAGACGAACGTAACGGAAAGACGAGCGAATGTAATGGAGGAAACTCCAGGACATAAAAGGCGACGGCTAAAACAGATCCCAAGCCCAGACCAAGTAGATGACGAAAGACGGAGAACGCTCCTAGATGTTGCTGCCACACAGCAAACGCTGGGGGTGAATGCCGGAAACCAACAGATACCTGACAAGGGGCATACCACTCAACAGACTCCTTCGGAGGATGTTAAGATGAGATCGGAGGTATCAGAGGACCGGGCCACTGTCGTAAAAAAGAAAAATAAAAAGAACAAGAAAAAGACCGACAACGAGACGGCATAAAAGACGACAGACGGACACAGAAGCCGAAGATCGGAATGTCCCAACCTGAAAACCAGGCGCGGGACCATTCTGATCTAGCCGGTGGAAGGACAACTGTACGCCGATGTCTTGCGGACTATCAGACAGAAGATAGATTCCAAGACAGAGAAGGTAGACGTTCGGACGATTAGAAAAACCAAGGACGGTGCTGTATTGATGCGACTGGAAAAGTCGCAAGGACAGGACTTCCAAAGGACACTTCAGAACGTATTAGGACAGACTGCGATAGTAAAAGACTTAACTTCCAGGGTGATGCTGGAGTTTGATGACTTGAACTGCGTCACGATGGTACAGGACATCGCGAACGCGATAAATCATGAACTAAACACGGACTCGTAACGGAAAGTGCATCTCTTTGCGTCAAACACATATGGGAATGCGCGAGCCGTTTGCGATTTCGACAAGACGGAAGCAATGAGACTGATAGGCAAAGAACGCATCAAAATAGGATGGATGAATTGTCGAGTTCGACTCTGCATTCATCCTCAAAGATGCTTCAAATGCCTTGGTTACGGACATACGCGAAGGGAATGTAAAGGGCCGGACAGAAAGAACTGCTGCATGAAATACGGACAGCCGGGTCACGTGGGCAAGGATTGTAAAAACACTACTGACTACTTCCTCTGTAAGGGGATAGAAGGACAGAACCTGGCCCACGTGGCTGGATCAGGCGGGTGCGCCGTATACAGAGCAGCACTGACGGAACTGAAGACGAAACAGAAAAAATGACCCTGACGATACTACAATGCAATGTGAACAGGAGTAGCGTAGCACATATGCTACTCCCTCAAATTGCGACGGAGACGAACGCAGACGTGCTTGTTATAAGCGAACAATATAGGGACAGACCTGAGCCATCGTAGTTCGCTAGCAAATCGAACAAGACGACGGTGTGGGTACGCGGAAACGAAGCAATGCGAGTCACAGCAAGCGGGTCCGGGGGGGACTATGTTTGGGTGAGGGTGGGCACTGTCGTTATCGTCAGTGTATATCTGTCACCAAACTATTCCGTGCTGGAGTATGTAAACAGACTCGCAGAAATCGAAGACGCCGTGAGAGATATACCCAGAAATACGATCGTGACGGGCGATTTTAACGCGAGGGCGATTGAGTGGGGTATGCTCACGACAAACAGACGCAGACGACTGCTACTACAAATATCCGCGAGGCTGGAACTAGTAGTGGTGAACGAGGGAAAGACGACGATATTTAGACGACCAGGGTAGGGTCAATCTATACCAGACGTGACCTTGGCCACAGATAGACTACTGACGCGAATAAGAGAATGAAAAGTAATCAAGGAATATACAGCCAATGATCACCAGTACATCATCTATGAAGTGACAGACGAAAATACGACTAGACGAAGAGGTAATGTGTTACCCCCTCTACGATAGGACACAAAAGACCTGGACAGAAAAGAACTCGACAGACTACTGCAAAACGCAGAGCCTTTTATGGAAACTACTCGAAGTGGTAAGCTACGATGCAGAAAAAACGATACAGACGCGACCGGTGACAGATGTACTGGTGGAAGCAAGAAATTGCAGACATCAGACGCGAATGTCACCGCCGACGTAGACAGGCACAAAGACAAAGAAACAGACATGACGAAGAAGCCTCAGAGGCATACAAACTTGCCAGAAAAAGGCTGAGACAAGCTATAACGGACAGCAAACGACAATGCTGGACACGACTGACAGACAAGGTAGACTCGGACCCGTGGGGGATGGGTTACAAAATCGTGTCCCGGAAACTAGACATCCGAGTTCCACCGGAGACAAAAGACGCTAGGACAATGGAAAAGATAGTTGAGGGTCTTTTTCCAACGCATCCTGACAGAATCGATGACATGAACACGGAAAAAGAAATGGAATGTCCTAGCTTCACAAGGGAAGAGCTCATACGAGCGACAACCAAGCTGAAGATGAAAAAGGCTCCTGGACCAGACGGTATACCGAGTGAACTGCTACAGTATGTAGCCACTCGATGGCCCGACATACTCTTGCAGTTGTACAGTGGGTACCTGACAGCGGGCGTTTTCAGTAAACTCTGGAAAAACGCGAGGTTAGTACTCATTGGCAAAGGCAAGACCCCGAAAAGCCGAATTCGTATAGGCCCTTGAGACTCCTCAACGCGGCCGGCAAATTATACGAACTGCTACTGAGACCAAGACTGAACGCGGCAGTGCAAGCCGCTGGCGACCTATCGGACCGATAACACGGCTTCCAGAAAGGACGCTCAACGATAGGAGCAATCACAGGCGTGAAACAGGTAGTTGACAGAATGAACGAGATTTGCTACGGAGCCAGACCAATAATGCTCCTAGTAACATTAGACGTAAAGAACGCCTTCAACTCTGCTAGATGGGTGGATATTCTGAGAGCACTAGACGGCTTTCAGATACCCGTCTACCTTCTCAGAGTCTTGAAGGATTACTTAAAGGACCGAAGACTGACGTAGGGGGTGGCACAAGGATCGATATGCTGGGTCCTGACCTCTGGAACATACTGTACGACGGACTAATAAAGCTCGACATGCTCCCAGACACGCGTCTGGTCACTTACCCTGACGACGTAGCAGCCGTAATAACGGCCCGCGACACACATCTGGCTCAGCTTAAACTGAGCCAGGTGATGAGGCGTTTGGACGGATGGATGACGGACCACGGACTGAGCCTGGCTCTTTTTAAGACAGGCTTACTGATACTGATGAGACAGAGAATAGACACAATAATACCGATGACCATAGGAACGGAACCACTGGAGACCAAAAGTGCGGTAAAGTACCTGGGGTGACTATAGATACGAAACTGAACTTTTGGTCCCACATACGAGACGCGACCGCCAGAGTAAGTGAAAGGACCAAGTCCTTGAGCAGGCTGATGGTAAACACAAAAGGACCAAGACCGAGTATACGAAGACTGCTGATGGGCGTAACCTACTGCATCATGCTTTATGGAGCAGAGGTATGGGCCGACTCGTTACGGATGAGGAGACATGCAAAAACTATGACGAGCGTACAAAGAACGGGGGCACTAAGAATCGCGTGCGCGTACCGAACAATTTCGGAAAACGCGATTTTCGCGATCGCGGGTGTTATCCCGATCAACCTCTTGGCAGGCAAGAGAAAACGCATTTACGATCGAAGTGCGACCGTAGGGAGGGCCCACACTGCAGCAGAGGAACGAACGACAGAACAATGGCAGACAAGATGGACGACAGACGTTCAAGGACGATGGACCCACAGACTGATACCAGACGTTGGTCCGTGGAAAGACAGAAAACACGGGGAGGTGGATTTCTATCTCATCCAGTTTCTGTCCGGACACGGATACTTCCCAAAGTACCTGCACAGAATGGGTAAGGTAACTTCCCCAGACTGTGTGTACTGTAGGGGGTCTTGGGACGACGCGGAGCACGCGTTTTTCGTGTGCAAAAAAAAATCAGTTTAATTAAAGTTCAAGGCAATACAATATTATCAGATTGTACAATAATGCCTGGAATAACAGCAAAGAAAAAGGAAACTTTAGTCGTCGACAGTAATAAGATTGGATGGAAAAAGTGGCTAAAAAATGCTAAGTATAAGTATCGTCAACTACACAGAAGACAAATAAATTAAAAATCCAGAGTTAATTATAAATCTAATAAAAAATTATTATAAAAAATCTATTGTCAAGATATCGTGCGTAGAATATAATCAATATTCTATTAAATTTTGTTGATTCAGATATAAAAAAATGTATCAAAAAATTATACAATATTGATAACAAACCATTAAGCCAACATAATAACAATAATCGTAATATTCGACATTCAATTATTATTAGTTTTATTCCATGTTCCAATTTACAGACATTTCAATACGAGAGTGTCCAAACTTGAAACAATAACATACGTACCATTTCTCTAGTTAAAAGAACTACATCTTCGACTATGAAGTTGGGTGAAGATAAAATGTTAAATTGGATAAAATAAGTGTTGTAACATTGTATTTAGGGAAATGAAACAAAGCACATAGCGGCATTTAAAATTATCATAGGGCGCCAGGCATTGATAAAAATGAATTTTTTAATTTTGAGTATCGCGGAGTAATACCTTTCCGAATGTGATCGACAATCTGCATTTACTTGTTTTCCCAAAGTAGATAGCGGATTCCTGTTTGCAGAAGAGCGGCTAGAAAAGGAGGAAAAGAGATTAGGAAAACGCACTGGCAGATTACGTATATAACAGCATGTAAAGATTAACGAAAACAATAGAACAGAATTGACAAAATCAAATTGATAAGATCAATGCGGCAAGAAGGTGTATGGCACAATTACAAAACGATATTTTCCGAAGAAAAATTTACAAAAGAAAATTAAAAAACAATTGCATACGACGGTCAGTTGCGGCTGGCAAATAGAACACAAAGGTAACAAAAAAAAAAATTAGTTAATCGCTGTGTTCCGCACGACAGGCAACAAAACGAGAGCATCGGCTCATAGTGCTAATCGTTGAATGTGCGGCAAATGCAAGTCGACCAATTGCAAATTAACCGGCAGATTAAAGACAAAACTTTGGAGCGACCTCGCAACTAAAAGCGCGACAATCGATAGCCCCAAGTGATTAGCAACGAATATAATCGCTTAATACGAACTCTCGTCATCACTTCTTTGGGCATGTATGTAACAAATGGCTGGATCGCTCAACAATCAGCCTCGGCCTAAACAATCAAAAATTCGTTCAAAGTCAAGGATCAATTAGGTGTCAACAAACAATAAGGTACCTTGCCGAGATTAGCTGGACAAGCATAATATCATAGCAAAAATTTAGCGCTAATCGCGATTTGGATACGCTTCACGGATAATAGACGTCCGCTCGTGGTCGCGGCTGCAAATCTCTCCTTGATTCGTAGCTGATTTTTGAACTAGTGTTGCCCTTCTTCTCTTTCATTGGCATAAGTTTTGATAAATTATGACGGGCAGGTATGAGTGTGGGTGTGTGTATCTGGTTGGTATGAAGCCAGCAATAACTTTAATCAATGTCGTCAAGAAGCTGGTAGCAAATGTAGATTTGTTTAATGCACTTTTTCCCATATTTCGAGGTTGCCGAAAAACAAACAGAATTAACATATCGGAATACAAAGTTTCGTAAGTACCGGCACGCAACCAGAGCTCTGCACTGAGATAGCAACCAGCGGTGATTAATGACCAATTTTGAGCGGCCAAACCATCCGTTACAGTGTATAAAATAATTTGTAAAGAGTGTAATCTAATAAATATTCGAATCTATTAAGATATAGTATTGATGAATCTAGAATGAATGAAAATACCGAGGCGATATAGCTAACTATGAATATGAATAATCACTTGTATCAATATGACGGGGGTAATGCACAAATCTTTGATTTTGAATATTAGTAGAAAATATAATCCGTATCAAAAATGTAAGTCATGGTATCAATAAATACAACGATACTAAAAATGTAAGTAGTGCTTATAATCCAATCTCTAATATAATCTGTATCTTATGAAAAGAAGACATAATGTAATAAAACCGAGTGAATTATATTTAAACGAGAGTAAACAACTGTTCTGAAAAAACGATGTGATTCATTGTTGTTATTTATACGTAGCTGAATTACGATTCACAAATTTTGCGCGATGTGTATTTAATGTTGTTTGTTTTCCCAGATGCGCACATATGGTACATGCAAGGCTATATCCTCACGCTTTTATACCTTAATTTCCATAACTCCCGAGCACTGTAAACTACAACACCATAGCCCCAGACGTTTAAATCTCTATTTCCTCTACCCTCGAATCCTATAACCTGCGACGCTATAACCGTAGACCCTTATACCCTAATTGCTTTAACTCTTGAGCCCTGTAACCTGTGACGCTATAACCCCAGACTCTTGTGCCATAATATTCTCAATCCTTGAATCCTGTAAGTTGCGACGCTATAAATTAAACTCTACATTCCTTTTTCCGCTGTGGTAGAGGGGGTAAGTACTGAGATAGTCTGACGGAGCTTCAATGATGAGGCGGACTGAGGGAAGCAAATGCATACTTTACGGTTTCTAAAGATGCTTTATTGGTGATCGCAGCCATAACCCCCTTAGATTTTCTAACTTGCCAGCGTAAGAGGAAATACAAGAGATGCAGAAACGAAAATAGGGTATGGTTAACTAGAGTGGAAAGTGATGAGACGGTTTATGCTAGGCAAGAGCGATAAATGGAGAAGGGCGATTGGGTCTCCATACTGCGTATTCTGTGGTCGCGGAAGGAACAGCCTAGAGTGCACCTTTTTTGAGTACCCGTATTTAGAATGAGGATAGAAACAGCACCTAGAAAAATTTATAGACAATATACATTACGGTCAATAATATCCCGGAAATGGTTAGAAATAAGGAAGATTGGGTTCATATGCTAGATACGCAGAATGTAACCACATATGTTACCCTTGTAACAATATTTTTTATCCTGGAGCACTAAATTTTTAAGAGTACGACTGCTGTTAAGCATATCTAGTTTTTCACACTTTTGTGAAATCTCTTTTGCCTTTGTTCGAGAGATCCTGTACCAAATCGCCTTTTATATTGTTTATGTGGCTTGTCATGTTGAAGTGACCAGCAATAATCAGCTAGTATAGCTGTAAACTATTTTCCTTGATAAGGCCTTTCCATTTCTGCTGTCTTGATGAAAACGCTCACCCTGCTCTTCGCTAACATCACCTAAATTTTCAGGAAACCAATCCAAATAAGAATGCAAATAGTGGACCATTATGCTCATATTACAACCTAAATTTTTGAAGCTTGTTAGTATTCCACTTATCAGCTCTTGATAATTAAGAACTTTTTTGTTACCCAAAAATCCATTTACAACTTTTTTTAAACTTATCCAGGCTTCTTTTTCCTTTACACTCATCACCTTTTCGAAATCAGTTGTTTCCATTCAATCACGAATCTAAGGCCCTACAAATATATCTTTTATCTTTACATCACTCAGGTTAGGATATTTTTCAATGAGGTACTTGAAACAAGCATTATTTTTATCAACAGCTTTCACGAATTGCTTCATCAGTCCCAATTTGATATATAGTGGCAGTAGTAGTATTTTTTTTGCATCAATCAATGGATTTTTTAATATATTAGGATCATCTTTTTTGAGGGAAGTACGAGTAGACCAATCCTTTTTAACATAGTATAGCTCCCTTTTTCTGCTATGCCATAAAAATATGAAACATGGGTGCTTTGTATACCCTGACTTACGCCCAAGAAGCATACCAGCGATTTTCAAATCTCCACATACATCCCATTTCTGATTTTCATATTGAACAGCTTGGAGAATAATATCTACATTTTCATGACACTTTCAAATGAGTGAAATAAGCAATAGGCAAAGGAGTATATTTATTAGAGTTATGTAACAAAACTCCTTTCAAACTCCTTTTAAAGGAGTCGATAAACAACCTTCAATCAGCAGGATCATATGTCAGTCCATATTTTTGCATGAAACCATGAACATTATTGTAATAAACATAGTTCTCACCTTGGGAAAAGGACAGAGTAAATGACTTTTCTCGATGCCTGTATCAAGAAAATGTAGTTTCAGGTACAAGAAGATTTCTCTCTTTTAGCCATGAACTCAGTAGTTTAGCTTTGCCTATGGGCAAGCTTAAGTCTCGGCCTAAGTCATGTAGTGCAGCTTGATCAAAAGGAATCGGTACAGATTTAGAATCTTGACAATCATAAGAATCACTATCTGCAGACTCTTGAAGATCTCTTTTCTAAACACCTATATTGATATCAGCATTTTTCTTCCAAATTGGAGGGTTAGGAAGGATATCGTCAGGTCCCATCATCACAGGTTTCGTGACACTTGATACATTTGGATACACTATTTTATGAGAATTTTCAAAATTGAAGCCAGTAGTTTTAGTTAAATAAAAATAGCAGTCATCGTGACTAAAAGGTTCCCGCCATAACATTGGTGTTTTGAAAGACATGAGTGTAACTGTGTCTGTAGCATTATTCCAGCGTTTTAAAGCTTCAACACAGAATTTACAAGCTTTGTGTGGAACTCAAGGTTTATCTTGACTTGAAATCGATATATTGAAATATCTCTTGTAAAACTGTTTGACACTTTAATTGATGTCAGTTTTTTGCTTCGAAAACATAAAACGATCGCAGATGTAACAAAAATTGCCTGGATCATTTGAATACGTACGAACGTCCATTATAAAGAAAACGAAAATGTGAAAACGGCTGATATAATATACTGCAAACAATTCAAGGTAGCTATAAGAACGTCTGATAAAGACTCCAAAGAAGAACTCACCAAGAGCAGTGAAAACGACTGATGAAAACTGTTCGTCGATAAATCCTCCCTGGAAAGGTAGCCGTGAAAATGGTGTTTGGAAACTGCTTAGAAAAACTCTCTGTAAATAACGTCACAAAAATGAAAATGGCTTATCAGGTAATTTTATGCATCGCATTACGAGGTTATGATACTAACCCAATAAGCATCGCAGGTTACAGGGCTCGAGGATTAAAGAAATTAGAGTTGAAGGGTTAGGAGTTATAAAGTCGCAAGTTACATGGAACGAGGGTTAAAGCAATTAGGGTATAAGGGTTTGGAGTTACAACGTTATAGGTTACAGGGCTCAAAGTTTAAGGAAATAGGGATTTAAGGGTCTAGAGTCACAGTATCGCAGGTTACAGGGATCGAGGGTTCCAGCAATTAGGGTATATGAAGTTCGACTCTTCGTATAAATTAGAGCAATTAGGGTATAAGGGTCTACGGTTATAGCATCGCAGGTTATAGGGTTCGAAGGTTGAGGAAATAGAGATTTAAACGTCTGGGGCTATGGCGTCGTAGTTTACAGTGCTCGGGAGTTATGGAAATTAAGGTATAAAGGCGTGAGGATATAGCCTTGCATGTGCCATATGTGGGCATCTGGGAAATTGGCTGTTTCGGGATTGCTAAAATACTTGATTCCAATCATCGATATCTCGATGAAAAGAAAATATAACTCAAATCTTAAATATTAAATTTAAAGGGTAAGGGTATATCTTTCAGGTGGTTTGTCCCGTTTTCAGAAAAAAATATTTCCACGTTGTTGTGGGACCTTAAATATACCAAAAAACTGCCTTTTTTGCCCTTTTACATTAGGATATCTAAAAAACCTGA